CTTTTTAAGTGGGAGAACTTGCATAATTGGTGGCTGACTAAATACTTTTTTGCCCCACTGTATTTAGAATGTTCTTTCTAAATAACCAGCTTAAGTGGAGAATGTTCCTTCAACTGCAGACAGACCTTCTGAAGTCAAGACTGCAGCCAAGTTTTATAACAGCTAACCACTAATGCAGAAAGAACAAACAACTTAATATTAGAAGTGTCCTAAAAATCAGGAAAGCCTTATCAACAGAATTTCACGTTATTTCAGTTGATATGCCTACAAAGTTGATGTGCATAGTTTGACTGTATGCTTTAAGTGGACTGGAATCTTTCTCATCTAATGTTAATCCATTTGTTCCTCACTCTTTAAAAAAGTGATATGACATTTTCTAGCTTGCTTGTAACTGCTGGGAATTAACCAATAATTACAAAAATATGCATTAGTGGGAACAAATGTTCAAGTTAAAAGTTTTCTATTCTATTCTAAAGCTGTATAAATCATTTGATGAAGTGCTCTAAAGATTGGCAGGGCCTCAAAGCCAACACCCTAAGCTTCAAGTGGATGTGGCAGCTTCAAGGAAAGGCTCCAGCAGGGTGTTTTGCTCATGAGCAATGCTTCACTGGAAGATTTGCACAAGCCTACTCTATTAATTGATATTCTTTAGTAGAATTGTATTTTGTCTTAACAGAATACCAAATACTGCTAAATATGGGTAACTTGAAGCCCACAGTCTCATATTGTTGTCTCTTATGATAACAGAACTGTTATAGTTCTGAGAATTACAGCATTATTTTTTCAGCAGATTTTTAAAAAAGGAAAATGATGAGGTAAGTTTCCAGTGCGTATGTCAGAAATGAACATGTTGCTTCCTTCTGCCATTCAGTCCTTAAGAATTCTTGTTTTGCTTTCTTGTTTTGCTCAGATAGGCTTTTATAGTTCAATGAATCAACAAAAAGCACAAGGGAACACTATGGAAAAAAACTAGCCTCATGTTTGTAAAAATGAAAAAGATGTCATTTCCCTGTTCACTGAGTCTGTTGCTTTCAGGCTATTCAACCAAGATCAAGCATTCTGACTATCTAACTTTAAGCTTGCTTTGCAGAACGAATTACAATGGACGTGAAGAAAGGAGAGGCAATTGAATGCAAAAAAGAGAAAAATTAAGAGTGGAAGAAGGGATTTTGAAGAATCAGGCTGGAAGGCAAAAAAAAATGGGCTGTGGCTCTTCAAGATGCCTGTGCTAAAAAAGAGAGAACACAAAAACAACTTAAAGGCTGCAAATGATTTTAAAACATGCTGATTTAAAGCAAAGAAACACCCTTCCAACATCGCTTTGGTAGAATGAGAGCGGCCATCTTCAAAATGAAACCCAGATTTCAGGAATTATGCAAAAGTAAGCAAATTCACTGGCTGATTTGATATATGGATTCTTCGCTTTGGATCTGAACTCCAGCTACACTAAACCTGGAAAATTCCACCTTTGCCATCCCACAAATGCATGTAATATATATGTGAGCATCTACTGCTGCAAGCTATACTTCAAAAAATGCAGATAAAAAAAAATCTGCATTAACTGTTAACTAAAATTAATCATCTTTAAATAAGGTAACCCATTTATAAAATCAATTGGTCCCCGTCTGCTTATACCAACCACTCTCTCCCACACATACTACTCTAACACAGAAACACATTCCCTTACATCCACCCAAGAGCAGGAGGGGGGGAAAACCCCAAGCTGAGGATAATAAGAATAAGAAATAGGGAAAGGAAGCAAACAGAAGCGGGGGGGGGGGGGGAAGGGGTGGACAAAACTGGATCCTGATGAGGAGGGGGAAAAAGGTAGTTGGATCAGAAAAGGGGGAAATTATAAATTATTAATTGAATTAATTGAATTTTATTCAATTTTATTAATTGAATAAAATTCAATTAATTCAATTAATAATTTATAATTT